GGTCTGAGTCCTCCGGGTCCCGGGGCTGAGGCCGGTGCAGCGACCCTCCGTGTCAGGACCCAGCGGAGACCGTGCTGGTGTCCCCTTGACGGGAGCCGGTGGTCTGCGCGGGCTCTTTTCGCTCGTCGGATGTCGAGGGCCCTGTGGGAAAGGCTCGCTGCTTTCCTCACCCGATCCCCAAACAGTGATTTTTCGAGCTTTACCCCAGGAGGAGCCTGTCCTTCCAGTCGGCGCCTAGGCCCCCTCCCTAAGACAGATCAGTGCTGTTAACTCGTTCAAGGTGCCACTTCCGCAGCCTGGACTATAAGAATCCATACTTGAGATCGCAACACGAAAGACTATTTCTGACCAAACCCCTGGGCAGATAGTGCCCACTTGGTGGTGGTGCTGTGGGTGGGGACGTAGGTCCTGTATAAAAAGCGCTGGTGTCTTGGACTTTTAAAAAAGGAATGTTGGACCTGCGTATATTAGGTGACCAGTTCTTAAAGATAGGCAATAGGAAACAGGGAGATAGATCTTTTGCCAGTGGAAAGGGGATCCAAAAATGGAGGGGGGGGCGTTAAAAATAATTTACATATGTGAAGTACATATACCTACTTTCTCAGATGGATGTAAACATTATGTACTGCAAACACATACTAGTAAGAGTTTTAAAATACTCCAAAAGAAAATTTGAAGTGGATTTTACTTAGCAATTAATTGGTTCACAATACAGGATAGGGGAATTTTCGACGCTGTCTGTGGAGAGGTGGGTTAACTGATGGAAAAGTTGTCTTTCCTGTATTGTTTTTGGAAGGAAAAAAGTGGCTAGGCTGCCACTTGTACCAGGCTGCACATGGACCCGGGTAGTTTGTCAGGTACACGAGTAGCAATGTGCTTATTGTATGACCTTTTCAGAATGGCTTTGTTTAGTTAACAAATACTTGTAGAATTCCTTCTGTTTCACAAGTATCGGGACTATGTAAGATCAGGAAAGAATTCCAGGAGGGGAGCTTCTCTGAAAGTTTCCTTAAAATAAGTACATCTTTCCATGTCAAATATGTGGAACCAATAAGTACTCGGGGGTAAAGAGGTATGAGAGATTACCCTAGCTTACTTAGCTATATGGAAGAAATGAATTAGAGTCTTGACTTTGGGTCTGCAAATAGAAGGTTGTGTGCAAGCTGGAAATTATGCAACTTGGCGAATATAATTAGTTTTTTTGGAAATCTCTGCAAGAAAGAGCAAAATTATTATTTGTTCAGCTTAAATTGTAGGATGAGGGATATACCATGGAGGTGCTAAAACTTTATTCCTTAATGAGAGCCATGATGTTTTCTTAGTCTTTTTAGCCCCCCCACAACTCCAGTTGTATTTCACCACCACATATTTGATGTTAACAATTACAATTTGAAAGTTGTTTTTTTTTTTTTTTTTTTTTTTTTT